GAGGCGGCCGTTGGAGCCGGCCCCGTTTCTGTGTGCCCGGCAGCACGGTGACAGCCGCGGCTTCCCAGAAGAAAAGCCCCAGCGTGATTTACACGCCGTGTTTGGCTGTGGGACACGTGTTGTCCCCGAGAGCCACGCTGCGGGTTCATGCTATGCCTGCAAAGATAGCCACTCAGTTAAAAATACGATGTTAAAAATTCATACCAAGCCTTCCCTGAGACGTAGATCAGCTGGTGCAGGTGATCAGCTGGGTCAGGAGGAAAGTTGTAGTCATTTCCGTGGGACAACAGAAGGTTCACTGCTGTGAAGACACCAGTGGGTAGAGAAGAGCTCTGGTGTCCAGCATGGTTAAGGTGTACCAGAAAAAAAGGGCGTCTTTGAAAGAAAGCTCGCCCGGCAAACCATTTGGAAGCCGTGCCCTGCAGACACTTGTGCAGCTGCTTGACCATGTGCGCTTGTGGTGCTCCTCGGATGTCCTAGAGGCTATTCGCGAGCTGGAGCAAGCAGGTTAGTGTTTGGGAAATAAAACGTGTCACCACGCAAGTATGAATTAAAAGACACATCCCTTTTATTAATCTGCATTATCCAGTGTTTGACGTGTTTTCTGCTGGCACATTTAAATTGTTCCGATCAGCGTTCTGGCCATGCTCCTCGCTGTGGTGGTGCCTTCTGCCTGCAGGGATGTGCCAGGTCGCTTCGGCACTTGGGCTGCTTGGCTGCTGCCTGGCCTCTCCTCCAGCGGCTGCACAAGGTTTTAAAGAACCTTGATTGGCAGCTGCATGAAGTCCCCTTTGGCACACAATCCTTTTAAGCCTTCCCCCCTCCAGCCCCATGTAAAAGGGACTTCTGCCCTTTTCCCTGACTGGAATCCATCACCCTGTGACCTGAGGCATCTGCTAATGGAAGCTGTGCTGATCTGTGGTAGTGGAGGGACCCCCTTGTCTGGCTGTTTCCCTTGGTCCGGTGCAGTGCCAGGGGGAGACCCTAGGAAGGTCCCCAGGGCACGGAGGGTCAAGGACCAGCATGATATGGGCACTGCAACTGTGCATGCACTAACGGAATACAAGCAAGTTTAGTGATTGTGTAATTTTGTTTTGCACAATATAGTGTAGTGGCACAGGAAAGAAGTTACCTTGCTCTGCAAGCAGCAGAAAGATAGTGAAATAGATGCAATTAAACAGGATTCCTTGAAGTTAGTTTTAATGAGAAGTAAGTTTAGAATTAAGTGATCTTTATTATTATTATTATTTTCCATCAGGCTAACAGCATTGACTTCCAGGAAATTGGTCTACTAGCTTTGCAACTTGCAACCTATTGCTTAGAAACTACTATCTCAAAAGGAGATACATTATTTACTGTTAACATGCAATCATTGCATTCTAAAATAGGCAACTTAGCTTTGCTAGAAGAGACAAATTTCAGTTATTTTTTAGTGTTTATTTCCATGGACTGTGTATTGCTCATAACTGAAGAGGCGGTTGTCTTCCCAAGAAAAGTTCTTTATTCGATAGAGACGTCAAGAGTTCCTGTGAAACACATGAGGGCAGCAAAGGACCTTTGAAAAGGCAGCTGCAAAACCTGCAGTATATTAAAAAAAAAAAAAAAGCTATTTCAGGAAAATAGATGCATCCCAGATTGTTTCACATTAAGGATTCTACATAGCATATCAAGAGGAAAAGTGTGTTTCTCTTGGATTTGCCCTCTCTATGTGCTAAATAGGGGTGTTGATTTATCTTGTTCATGAGCAGAGAGAGACACTTAGTACTGACAGTGTCTCTGATGACTGCTCCTCATTTTATCAGGGAGAATAGAAGCATAAAAAAAAACACAAAAGGTGGGGAATTGACAGCCAAAATGTCTTCGAATGCTTTATTTTTCTGCTGAAATATCATGCTGTTAAAGCACTTTGCACTTGCTGTTAAATGAACAGAAATCCACAAAGGTACATAGAAAGATCTCTATGAACCGATAGTCTACACACTGTTTTGAATTACACCTGAGTAAATCTAGCTCTGCTTCATTAAGACAAAAGAAAATACACTTATAAAAGTATCAGAGATAGGCCTACAGAAAACATGTGGTGTAAAGTCATTTTTTAAATTTTGGTATGAATTGGTACTGGTTCAGTGACACAGAAAAGCCATGTATTTAGTTACATATCACCCCAGACAGGCACGATAAATGCAAAATGGAAGTGTACAATTTGTTTATGTTCCAAAATTGTTTTTTCTGATAATCCGGTTTAGAATCCTATTACTGTAAATGCTTATTTTTAGATCTATTTTAGTAGCATTTCTTGTGTGTTTCTTTACTCTTCTATCTACTGACTAATGTTATCTCATGGGCTCACAGAGGGCATGCTAAAGGATCACAACAATAATGAATATATATTTAGGAAATGCTACAAGGATCTTAAGCTGTTTTCTTTAAATAAAGATATTCCTGCAATGAAGCCTAATATCTTTCTATTAGATTTGGTGTTTGCCTGGTGCAAATTACACATAAAGGTATAACAGTGTAATTAATGGGGGAATTTTCATAGTTGTGTGGAGTCAGAGTTTAATAATATGTTGTTATTTAGGAGACTAGCTATTTTTTCCCCTTCATGTTAGATCCTTGATTCCTTTTAGGCTCCTGTTAGAGGCAGAAGTGCACTGAGGCTGGGCTCTCAATGCTTGTGTTTATAGCAAACACAAAAACCCAGTAAAGTGCCAAGCTGCAGATGGGTGTTCCGTGGATGCTGGCTGCCCCCGCGCAGGGCCATGAGGAGAGCGGCCCTCTGCGGGCAGCGGTGCCCTCTGCTCTGGGGAGCGTCTGCGCAGCACCCGCTGGGGCTCCGCTCCTTCGCCTGGGGATAGCACGGTTAAAGAACGAGAAAGGAGGCTGTGCTGTGCCCAGCCGCTTCAGGGAGGGAATAATCCGAGGCCAGCAGCAGACAAACTTCAGAAGATTTGTCAGAAAATAAGAGTTCAGGATAAATCTAAGGATTTGTCTATATTACCAACTTGCCGCTTACTAATATAGTTGCACTGGTAATAACTAAGTGTAAACAAAGTAAGCAAGCACTGCGCTCCTGGAATGAAATCTGGTCCTATTTAAGCCAATTTAAGGCTAAAAACACAGCATTGCAGTGGCTAATATTCAAAAACATTCTGAGTCCCAAGGTAGGCTTTGGAGCTCATATGCGGTAGAGAAAATTATGCACGTAATAGCTGCATTTGCAGGACTAAACAAGCTGAGCATGATGGATGGTCAGAGATCCCTACGCGGCCGTTGAAGTCTCTCCTCTTGGAGCTTTCCTTGCACACAACGCAATACCTGCAGGACCTGCATCTCAAACCTGCTGCTTCTGGATCTGAGCTGAGTATCCTGAACACCAGCAAGCCTGCAGTGCTCTTCTGGCCAGGCTTGTCAGCACAGGGGTGAATCATTGAATCACAAATGAAGCCTGGCAGCAGAGCTAATAATTTATATCAAGTGACCACACAAAGTTTCAAAATACACACAGAGGTGGCTAGATGTTACACTGTCACAAGAGGAGAAATAGCTACTCTCAGTGACACTGAAGGAAAAAATCTTAAAGAGTTTTAGAGAGCTGAAAATCAGCTTTTAAGACTTTGCAGTTTGTTATTTTCTCTGTCCTCACTGCTTTGCCAGCAGCACTTGCCAATGGATGCAACAACGTGGTGTTAGGCATTCCGAGCTGCAAACCTTCTCACATCTGGCTCACTAAAACCTTGTTGTCCTGCTGGCGTTTTCTTAATATCAGAGCAAATGCAAAGCAGTTATTGACAAAAGGTGGAATTAGTAGCCAGCCTTTTGGGAGGAAATTTAGGCAAATGGGTGCTAGCTGATTCAGTGACACAAGCTTATGCAAACATTTATTCATTTAATCATGCTGATTTCTGCCATGGAACAGTTTAATTATGGGAGCTGGATGAAGCACTCACTCTCAGGAGCAATGCTGGTCTGCAGAAT